TTCTCTCTTGAGACCGACGCTATAGAGCGTTTCTTTATGTTCGGCGATGACGGGCGTCAGGGGGGGGGGTGGCGGGGGGGGGCTGTGACGTAACGCCCCCCCCCCCCCTTCCGCCGTGTGGCTCTGGCACCACAGTCGCGCCCACGCTCACGACGCGACGAGCGACGAGCGACGACGACGACGACGACGACGACGCGAGCAGCATGTAGGTGGCGCTCTGCCCCCCTGCGCCTGTGTACACCACAAAGCTCGCGTGCACCACAATGTCACAGCGCGCGTGTACACCACAGCGCGTGCGTACATCGCAACAACCGTGTGCAACGCAGCGCTTGTGTACACCGCAATGCTTGCGTACACTACAGCGCCAGTGTACATGTGCACACCGGAAACAACCATGTGCAACACAGCGCCTGTGTACACCACGGTGATTGCGTGCACCGCGGCGCCTGTGCACGCCACAGCGCCTGTCTACACCACAGCATCCGCGTGCAACGCAGCGCTATTGTACACCACAGCGCCTGCGTGCACAGGACAAGTAGAAGGAGCCTGTACGTGAGGATCTGCTGCGGAATGTGCTGATAATCGAATGCGACGTTTTTCCCTCTTCTTTTCTCCTCCACTTCCACCTCCTTCTCCTCTTCCTCCTCCTCCTTTTTCTCTTCCTCGTCCTCCTCCTCATGCTCCTCCTCCTCCTCTTCCTCCTCCTCCTACTCCTCCTCCTCCTTACCCCCTGTCGTGCGGGTTGGCGCTACAGCGCACGTGCGCAACTCAGCGTGCACCGCAGAATGGTCTACTGAATCGGCCCATTTGGTTCTCGGACGGCCAATTTAGCTGGAACCTCCTGGACACAGATGGTAAGAGTTACGATGATGCGGGCGAACTCGGAAGGACTCGTAGATTCCCCTGGCGCTCCTTCGTCCATAAGGATTATTTTCTGGTGTTTTCGGTGGAGATCCACAAACGCACCATTTTGTCATATTGATTCTTTCTAACATTATACATGCAACAGTGGTGCTGTGTTGCACACGGTTGCTGTGGTGCACACAAGCGCCGTGATGTACACAGGCACTGCAATGCACGCAGGCATTGTGGTGTACACTGCTGTGTTGCACACGGCTGATATGGTGTACGCAGGCGCTGTGGTGTACACAAGCTGTTGTGCCCGCGCACGCGGTGGCACAAACTGACGCTGTGTTGCACGCGGCTTCTGTGGTGTACATAGGCGGCGTGGTGTACGAAAGCGCTGTGGTGCACGCAGGCACTGAGGTGTACACAGGCGTTGTGGTACAGATCGCCACCTACACGCCACCCGTCCTCCGTCATTCCTAGGCATTCCCAGGCGCCGCCGGCGCGAAGCGTGACGACATCGATCGACCCCCCCCCCCAGATGATTGCCGTCATCGGCCTGGAATAAAAAAACAGGCGCCAGCCGCGTCCGCGCGCACGACGACGATGAGCGACGAGCGACGAGCCACGAGCCACGAGCGACGACGACGACGACGTCGACGACGACGACTGCAGACCAGACTCCTATGCGGATTCCTACGCGGACACCTACGCGGATCCCAATACGCACGGCGGCAGTGCCCGGAGCGCACTGGGGGGGGAACGTTACGTCATAGGGGGGGGGGGCGGAGGGCCATGACGCCCGTCATGTCCCAAGCAAACAAGAAATAGTCTCCTATCATCCCGAAGCTCCTGCGCTCTTCAGACCTCTCCTCCCCACTCTTCCCCTCCTCGGGGCCTCGCGCGAAACGCTGTCAACTTAACTAGCCCTCAGAGATCATGACTATTTGAACTGGTCTTTGAAACACGCGTGGGTAAGAAGAGTTTCGTGGCTTCGTTGATGTGAATGCACATGCGGGTGTGCAGGTAACATGGGCGTGCAGGTAACAGGGCGCTGCCCCCCCCCACCGCAGGCCTCTGCTTTCGCGGGACTGGTATAAATGGATAAAAGTGGTCATAGAACTGGTCATAGAACTGGTCCATGAATAATAGGGTCTGGCGTAAAGCTGGTCGGAATTATAAATAAAAAGAATGTAGACAGATATTTAAAATTCTGTAGTTGAAACGACCAGTTCTATGCCGGACCATATTTTTATTTGACCAGCTCTATGAACAGTTGTACCAGGTCCGCGCAAGCAGAGGCCTGCGGAGGGGGGGGGCAACTCCCTGTTACTTGCACACCCGTGTTACCTGCACACCCACATGTACATCCACATCGACGAAGCCACGACACTCGTCTTACCCTGACGCGTTTCAAAGACGGGTCCATCATCATTATCATCATCATCATCATCATCATCATCATCACCATCACCATCACCATCACCATCACCATCACCATCATCATCATCATCATCATCATCATCATCATCATTACCTTCATCATCATTATCATCATCATCATCACCATCATCACCAACGGTTTCCGGACACCAACACCATTGCCAACGCTTTCATTACCCGCATCAACACCAACAACACCATCGCCACCGCCGTTGTCAGTTTAGGGAGCTTGTCTTGTGAACTCACGTCATCCTGACCCCTGGCGCCCTTTCCCACTCCTGCCATATACCTCTCACTCCACTCAACTCCATTCGACTCTACTCCACTCCTCTGCCCTCCTCCAAAGACCGACGCTATCATCCCGAAGCTCCTGCGCTCTTCAGACCTCCTCCCCACTCTTCCCCTCCTCGGGGCCTCGCATCATGACTATTTGAACCGGTCCTTGAAACACGCGTGGGTAAGAAGAGTTTCGTGGCTTCGTTGATGTGGATGCACATGCGGGTGTGCAGGTAACATGGGCGTGCAGGTAACAGGGCGCTGCTCCCCCCCGCCGCAGGTCTCTGCTTTCGCGGGACTGGTACAACTGTATAAAAGTGGTCATGGAACTGGTCATAGAACTGGTCCATGAATTTATAGGGTCCCGCATAGAACTGGTCGAAATGATAAAAAACACAGAACTCAGATATCTAAAATTCTGCAGTTGAAACGACCAATTCTATACTGGACCATATACTTATTGGACCAGTTTGACCAGTTGTACCAATTCCGCGCAGGCAGAGGCCAGCGGCGGAGGGGGGGGGGCAGCGCCCTCTTACTTGCCCACCCACGTTACCTGCACACCCACATGTACATCCACATCATCGAAACCACGAAACTCTTCTTACCCTGACGCTTTTCAAAGACCGGCACATCATCATCATCATCCTCATCATTACCATCCGCACCAAAAGTTTCCGGACACAGACACCATTGCCAACGCTTTCATCACCCGCATCAACACCAACAACACCATCGCCACCGCCGTTGTCAGTTTGGGGGGCTTGTCTTGTGAACTCACGTTATCCTGACCCCTGGCGCCCTTTCCCACTCCTGCCAGATACCCCTCTCACTCCACTCCACTCCATTCGACTCTACTCCACTCCTCCGCCATCCTCCAGAGACCAACGCTGTCATCCCGAAGCTCCTGCGCTCTTCAGACCTCCTCCCCACTCTTCCCCTCCTCGGGGCCTCACGCGAAACGCTATCAGTTTAAGTGGCGCTCAAATATCACAACTATATGAGCAAGTATTTGAAACGCGGTGGGTGGACAAAAAGTGCCCAAGCCCATCGCGCCAATATGATGCGACATCGAACGGCGTCGAACAAATATCCATCGCCCCCGCCCCCTCCCCAACCCAAAGTTGACGGGAATGCGTGCGAGGCAACGTGCGGGGACGAACTATGGACATTTCAACTTTGGGCTTTGGGGTGAAGGGGGGCGAGCCACATGTATATTGCAAGTGTCGTTGCCATCGTGCCTGATTGTCTTCGCGCCGCCGGTGCGGGCACTTCTTGTCCAGGCACTGACTGGGTAAGAAGAGTTTCGTGGCTTCGTTGATAAGCATGTACATGTGGGTATGCAGGTAACGTGGGCGTGCAAGTAACAGGGCGCTCCCCCCCCCCGGCCACGCGCCTCTGTTTGTGCGGAACTGGTACAACTGGATAGAGGTGATCATAATTGTAGAACTGGTCCTTTAAAAATAAGGTCCAGCATAGAACTGGTCGAAACTCTAAAGAGAAAGAGTTCAAAAACCAAAAAAACTGTAGTTGAAACGACCAGCTCTATGCGGGATCATATTTTAATGGCGCCAATTCTATGACCAATTCTATGACCCGTTCTATCAAGTTGTACCAGTTCCGCGCAAGCAGAGGCCTGCGGCGGGGCGGGGCAGCGCCCTGTGACGTGCACACCCACGTTACCTGTACACCCACACGTACATCCACATCAACGGAAGCACGAAACTCTTCCCACGCAGACGTGATTCCAAGACCACATCATCATCATCATCATCATCATCATCATCATCATCATCATCCTCATCAGCATCACCATCAGCTACGACGGCTTCCGCACACCAACACCATCGTCAACACTTTCATCACCCGCATCAACACCAACAACACCATCGCAACCACCGCTGTCAGTTTAGGGAGCTTGTCTTGTGAACTCATGTCATCCTGACCCCTGGCGCCACTTTCCACTCCTGCCAGATACCCCTCACTCTACTCCACTCCATTCGACTCTACTCCACTCCTCCGCCATCCTCCAGAGACCGACGCTGTCATCCCGAAGCTCCTGCGCTCTTCAAACCTCCTCCCCACTCTTCCCCTCCTCGGGGCCTCACGCGAAGCGCTCTCAGCTTAAGTAGCGTTCAAACATCATAACTATATGAGCAGTCTTTGAAACGCGGTGGGTGGACAAAAAGTGTCCACACCCATCGCGCGAATATCCATCGCCCCCGCCCCCCCAACCCAAAGTTGACGGGGTTGGGTGCGAGGCAACGCGCGGGGGACAAACTATGGACATTTCAACTTTGGGCTTGGGGGTGAAGGGGGGCGAGCCACATGTACATTGCGAATGTCGTTGTCATCATGTCTGATTGTCCTCACGCCGTCGGTGTGGGCACTTCTTGTCCGGGCACCCGAGCTTTCCCTCTTCGGCCCGCCGTCTCCTCCAGCTCCGCGCGTCCCCGTCACCTGCCGCGCTCGGCGTGTCGGGCGGGGCGGGGAGGGCCCGGACGACCGAGCCAGCTCCCCCCCTGACGGAGGCTCCACGAAAGGGCACTTTGGCAGGCGACCCAGCTGAACTGACCCTCCCTGGTGCGGGCAATGCTGCGGTGACCGACAGAGGCCTGAGGGGGGCAACTTTGGGCCAGCTTCCAGAAAGTAACGGCTGGTGAATAAGTACCAACTGCAGTGTCGCTGACTCAAGTTTTGGACATGTTGCTAATACATATTCCTCCACGTGTCGAATATGCTCGGGCCATCGTCGACACGACTTGAACCCCCCCCCGAGATTCTGAGCAACATTCATCCCAACGCCTGCACAGCTCACATCTCCACAACACGACTTACACCGCATAGCTCATACCACATAGCTTACACAACATAGCTCACATCACGCATACACTTCATATCGTGCACGACACAGCTCACGTCACATAGTTTACACCGCATAGCCCCCATCACATAGCTCACACAGCACAGCTAATGAACTCAAAGCTTGAGGCAAGTGCTGAGTAACGTTTCAAGCGTCAAAATCATAGATGTGAGGAAGAGTATCGAGCGAGGCGCCCGGTCTGGCCAACCGACATGCCTCGGGGTGCGACAGGAATGAGTTACTTGTAGGAAAGAGGTATAGAGGAAGGAGGAGGGGGCACGGTGGTGTCCAAGACGCTCCAGGGTGACCCTCGGATGGAGAGGAGGAGTAAGAGGAGAGGGAGGAGGAGGAGGAGGAGGAGGAGGAGGAAGAGGGGAAACACGTGGAGGAGACGGAAGACGAAGATGAGGGGGAGGGGGCGGAGGGGGAATGGGGAGGGGGAGGGAAGACGGAGGAGGAAGAAGGAAGGTGAGGAGGAGGAGGAGGAGGAGGAGGAATCGGGAAGACGGGAAGTAAAAGGAAAGAGAAAAGAAGGAGGATGAGGGCAGAAAGAGGAGACAAGAGGGATGGAGAAACAATCAAGGAGTGGTAAGAGGGAGGATAATGAGGACAGGGAAGGGTGGACAGCAAGAGGAGGCACCGGAGAACAGAGAAGAGCGATAGAGAGAGAGAGAGAGACAGAGAGAGGGAGAGAATGCGCAGCGGGAATACATCCATCTCCACCGCCTCGGGAACCGATGTCTTGAGACCCCTGAGGGCAGTAGATATGGATATCGGCTTGCCCCAAGGGGGCTCGAGTAAAATGCCCATACACACCGCTGGCCGAGGGGGTCCAGGAAAATAATTCTCCCAAGCGGTGGACATGGATCCGCCGGCCCCCTTGCGGGGCCATCACGCTGCGAAGATTAGGCTTTCATGATCCATACACCAAACCCAATTCTCCAAGTCTCCAATGTTATCCGTCTTTCCCCGATTCCCCTCTCGCGTGCGCGGACAAACATTGCCCCGCGCGCGCGCGCCCCCCCCCTTTCCCCCCCCCTTTCTTCCCCGGCAGTGCCGCCCCGGCACCCCCCCAGAGGATGAAGCTCAACCTCGAGGCTGTAGCTGAGGCCCCTTCGAACTCACGCGCCACGGACCCCCTTCCCCGCGCCATCGGAACCCGCGCCACCGGACCCCCGCGCGAGGGTGGGGAGCCGGAACGCGTTCTGGCTAGCGTTCCCGAATCGCATACTCTGAATTCCCGGGGGGTCGTGGGACACGTAAAAATACTAGAATTTCGCATCCCCGAGGCCATAAATCCGCGTAAAGTAATCAATAATCCCGTCCCCGAGGCCATCAAACCGCGTAAATTACGCAATCCGTGCGTCCCCGAGGTCATACACCGTCGTAAAATATACAATAGTCGCACCCCCGAAGCCACACACCCGCGTGAATTACACCATAGTGGCGTTCCCGAAACCATAAATGGTTGTAAATTAAACAATGGTTGCGTGCCCGAGGCCATGAACCCTCGGACATTACACAATATTCGCGTCCCCGAGGCCATAATCCGTCGTACATTTCTCGATGTGTGCGTCCCCGAGGCCACGAACTCTCGTACATTACGCAATGTTCTCGCCACCGAAACCACCAACCTTTTCTAAATTACTCTATGTTCGCGCCTCCGAAACCATAAACGCTAGAAAATTATTAAATATTCCTGACCCCAGGGCCATCGACCCTAGTAAATTACACGATGCTTGCGTCCCCGAGGCCGCAAACCCTCGCAAATTACTACATGTTCGCGTCCGCGAGGCCATTCACCATTGTAAATGATGCGATGGTTGCGCCCCCGAGGCCACAAACTTCTATAGCTTACGCCATAGTTGCGTCCCCGAGGCCACAAACCCTCGCAAATTACAAACAATTCGCGTCCCCGAAGCCATGATCCATCGTAAATTACCTAAAATTCGCGCCACCGAAGCCATAAACCCTCGTAAATCAATATTGGCCCTCGCGTGAAGTCCCGACAATGCTTCACGTCAGCGTCCAGACATCCCAACACAACTCTGGCAAGTCCCATTCTAAGAGAGAGGGGCCGGCGGCAGGGGGCGAACCCCTTACGGATAAATCCCAGCCCCAGAAAGAGCGAGGAGGGGGAGATGCAAGACCCAAATCTTGGACGTCGATTCTGTGATTTGAGAACGACGTGAACCCCTAGAAGACTGGACCTTCTCCCCAGGACCGGTTGTTTCATCCAGGGCCGTCTTTGGACGGCCCCTGGAGCCCAGTAGGAGCCCAACACTCCGAAACAGTCAAAGTCCTCCCTTATGAAGAACATCCTGGAGGCCTCGCGCCGCAACTGGACAGTCAAGTTACGTCAGATCTACGTCGGATGCACACCAGATCTACGTCGGAACACCGACGCGCGAACGTCGCCCCAGATCTGACGGGGGGGCGGACGTGTGGACTAAATGCTACAGCTGCTCCGCGCCGCGCGAGGCCTCCAGAATTTTCCGGATGGCCTTCCGTTGTGACTCTGCCCGCAGCGAGCGGAGGTGGAGCTGGAGGCAGACCTCGAACAACCACCACGCTGTCGGCCGTCTGAGGACGGCGCCGCATCGGCGATGCGATGCGTCGGCGACGTCGGTGCCGAGAGCATCGGGCTCCACATCGAGCCGCATCGCTGATGCATCGGCGACGCGTGGGAGCCCTATAGACTTTGCCCACAACGACAGGAAGCGAAACGAAGCGAAGCGAAGTGAACGACAGAGTCGTGCGCGCTCCAGAAGGGAGCCCTCCCGTGTCCCTTAAGGCATGGCGTGGGGGCCGTGGCCTCAGAAATGTGAAACAAAGGCAGCTCACGTGATACAAGATGAAGCCAGGTCGAAGATAACATCGGGTGAGGATAAATCGAGAATATCTGACATCCGGTGGCTCTGGAAATTGTATCTGGCACCGCGGCCTTCTCCAAGCGTTCTGGAACGCTCTGAGAGCGTTCTGGAACGCTCTGGAAAGTAACCCTCGTCCTGGCCCCGCGCGGTGATAGCCACCACTCTGTGTTCCCGGTGATCCCAGTTGGCGGCGGACCTGGTACGACCACCACGCTGTCGGCCGTCGGCGCGGCCCCGGCGCCCGCGCGGTCCCTCCGGGCCGGCGCCGCGGCGTAGCCCTCCGGCAGGGGCGGCGGCGGGGCCTTGGGGGGGAAAGGCAGAGCCTCATTTACCCTGCCCCTGAGCCTCCCCATATCCTGCTCCTCCTCCACAAGGAGGAGAGCCGTTGCCCACTCGGGGTGGGGCCGCGGGGACCCACGGCGGGCGGCGGCAGCGCGGCGGCCGCGCCATAGGGGCTGCGCGCGTGGGGGAGGACCCTGCAATATCCCCCGCCGCCTCGACAGCCCCTCCTGTCGGCAGCATGTCGCAGAACGGGGGTGGAAAAGGTTTTGATGAACGGGGGTGGAAAGGTCATGGAGCTCCAGCTGGCTGGAAACGCATCGCTTTTAGCATGAACAACGGATCCGAGGATACCAGATGCCGTGGGAGAACGTGCTCAATATCGTATCGGCAGCACAGCCAGAGGACGCATGACAATACCTCTAAGAAGAAGGAGACGAACAAGCTGAAGGAGGACGTGAAGATATGTATCCAGGATTGCATGATGCGCACGACCGAGTATGCGATCAACAGCAGCATTTACAAGGCGACCCCGAAGGGTGCAGGTGCTGTCTTGCGTCAAGTGCTTTGGCAGTTGAAGACATCAAACGTGAGAGAGAAGGAGGCGACGGATGGCCTCTTCAGATCGACGAGCAGGCGGTCGTGATCGAGATGGACATGTTGTTGGAGCCATCAACTACTGGAAGATTTACTGAGGAAATCAAAGACGGCTCGGACTCATCACCACCTACCCAAGGGGACGTCGGGCATGATAGGGGGAAAGGCTTTGGCGCTGGCGGCGCCGCTGAGGAACAAGGACGATTCAGATGAAGAACCGCCACCGCCGCCGCCTCCTCCGCCATCTGCAGCAGGGGCGAGTAGGAATGGGGGCCGCAAGTGACGAGGTCAAGAGCTTCGCGCCCATCGGTGATGGCAGGTCAATTCGTGGTCATTCGTCTTCGGATGTTGCGAGGGCGACGGTGGTGAAAGGGGGTACTCGTCAGCTGGGCAGGCAGAACCAGAACCAGGACATGGCCAGACAGAATTATGTTTGAAACCTCCTTCCAGACCATCGGATTCTCCAACGCCTTCAGCGACCACAACAGATGATGGGAAAATAATGGCCGGTGAATACGGAGGGCACTTGCAGAATAATGAGATCAAGAGTATTCTTCTGGCGCGAGGGATAAGACCAGCTGTCGGTTCTGGAGAGCCCTTTGTACCGCCTCCTCAACGCCGCCAGCTGTATCGATACAAAGCAGCCCAGGAATAGAAATTACGCAGGGTATGAACGAGCTCAAGGAGAAGATGAGGCAGGAATAGTGGGTACAAGCCCAAAGAGCGGCAGCAGTGGCTCATAACTACGGCTTGGAGATGCAGCAGCATAGACAGGCGATGAAGAGTCAGATCATGTACTGGAATAATATGGCGGCCCAGCAGGTCAGGATGGCGGAGTTGAATGCAGATAACCAGCTCGAAGGCAAAGTGGCCCCTGTGAAGCGCGGGGTTTAAGAGACAGAGGCCCAGAAGGAGAACGTAATGAAGATGAAAGAGGAGGTGGAAGCTCAGCGTGCTCGGGGCAAACCGGAGAAGGAGCAGGTAGTGAAGCAGAAGAAGGCTATACGACAGAGCGAAATGGCGTACCAATATAATTCGCAGCAATTGACCATGAAACAGAAGAACGACCATGCACAGACCGAGAAGGCGAGGACGGATACCATCACATACCTGGAGTACCAGAAGAAAGTTCACGATCAAGAGTTTCAGCGCAAATGGATGGAGTTGGCAGAACATCGCAACGGGGTTGAAGCCGAACGTACTCGTGTCGTGGAGGAGGTGTGTCAAGCTGAAGCTCGCAACAGGATGTAGTTGGAGGAGATCGCGAGCCTAAGGAAGTCGTTGGAAGTTAGTGCAGCGAACGAATTTCGGCCCGCACAGAAAGCAGAAACACGCAGTGTCAACCGAGTCGTACGAAACGCAAGGTATCTCCTCCACACCCATTGGCAGTAGTAAGAACAGAGAAGAAGCCATCTTCGAGCAGGATCCGCCACCGCCGCCTCCTCCTCCTCCGCCATCTGCAGCACGGGCGAGTAGGAATGGGGGCCGCAAGTGAGCTTCGCGCCCATCGTTGATGGCAGGTCAATTCGTGGTCATTCGTCTTCGGATGTTGCGAGGGCGACGGTGGTGAAAGGGGGTACTCGTCAGCTGGGCAGGCAGAACCAGAACCAGGACATGGCCAGACAGAATTATGTTTGAAACCTCCTTCCAGACCATCGGATTCTCCAACGCCTTCAACGACCACAACAGATGATGGGAAAAGACTGGCCGGTGAATACGGAGGGCACTTGCAGGATAATGAGATCAAGAGTATTCTTCTGGCGCGAGGGATAAGACCAACTGTCGGTTCTGAAGAGCCCTTTGTACCGCCTCCTCAACCTGATAGGCCGCCAGCTGTATCGATACAAAGCAGCCCAGGAATAGAAATCACGAAGGGTATGAACGAGCTCAAGGAGAAGATGAGGCAGGAATAGTGGGTACAAGCCCAAAGAGCGGCAGCAGTGGCTCATAACTACGGCTTGGAGATGCAGCAGCATAGACAGGCGACGAAGAGTCAGATCATGTACTGGAATAATATGGCGGCCCAGCAGGTCAGGATGGCGGAGTTGAATGCAGATAACCAGCTCGAAGGCAAAGTGGCCCCTGTGAAGCGCGGGGTTTAAGAGACGGAGGCCCAGAAGGAGAACGTAATGAAGATGAAAGAGGAGGTGGAAGCTCAGCGTGCTCGGGGCAAACAGGAGAAGGAGCAGGTAGTGAAGCAGAAGAAGGCTATACGACAGAGCGAAATGGCGTACCAATATAATTCGCAGCAATTGACCATGAAACAGAAGAACGACCATGCACAGACCGAGAAGGCGAGGACGGATACCATCACATACCTGGAGTACCAGAAGAAAGTTCACGATCAAGAGTTTCAGCGCAAATGGATGGAGTTGGCAGAACATCGCAACGGGGTTGAAGCCGAACGTACTCGTGTCGTGGAGGAGGTGTGTCAAGCTGAAGCTCGCAACAGGATGTAGTTGGAGGAGATCGCGAGCCTAAGGAAGTCGTTGGAAAGTAGTGCAGCGAATTTCGGCCCGCACAGAAAGCACAAACACGCAGTGTCAACCGAGTCGTACGAAACGCAAGGTATCTCCTTCACACCCATTGGCAGTAGTAAGAACAGAGAAGAAGCCATCTTCGAGCAGGATCCGCCACCGCCGCCTCCTCCTCCTCCGCCATCTGCAGCACGGGCGAGTAGGAATGGGGGCCGCAAGTGAGCTTCGCGCCCATCGTTGATGGCAGGTCAATTCGTGGTCATTCGTCTTCGGATGTTGCGAGGGCGACGGTGGTGAAAGGGGGTACTCGTCAGCTGGGCAGGCAGAACCAGAGCCAGGACATGGCCAGACAGAATTATGTTTGAAACCTCCTTCCAGACCATCGGATTCTCCAACGCCTTCAGCGACCACAACAGATGATGGGAAAAGACTGGCCGGTGAATACGGAGGGCACTTGCAGGATAATGAGATCAAGAGTATTCTTCTGGCGCGAGGGATAAGACCAACTGTCGGTTCTGAAGAGCCCTTTGTACCGCCTCCTCAACCTGATAGGCCGCCAGCTGTATCGATACAAAGCAGCCCAGGAATAGAAATCACGAAGGATATGAACGAGCTCAAGGAGAAGATGAGGCAGGAATAGTGGGTACAAGCTCGCAACAGGATGTAGTTGGAGGAGATCGCGAGCCTAAGGAAGTCGTTGGAAGTTAGTGCAGCTGATTACGGCCCGCACAGAAAGCAGAAACACGCAGTGTCGACCGAATCGTACGAAACGCAAGGTATCTCCTCCATACCCGTTGGCAGTAGTAAGCAGGTTCCGCCACCTTCTCCTCCTCCCTCCTCCTCCACCACCTCCTCCTGTTCCTCTTCCCCCTCCTCCCCCTCCTCCCTCCTCCGTGCTCCCCCCCTCTCCCCCCCCTCCTCCCTCCCCCCCCTCCATCCGCCCCCCCTCGCTGGAGCCTCAGCGCCCCCCGATGCCGTCTCGGGCTCCAGGCCGAGGAGGGCCACGTCGACCTGCCCTCTAGCGCGCGCAGCGGTCCCCGCTGGAGCGAGGGGCGCCGGCGGCTCCAGTTTGGGCTCCGGCGACCTCACCGAATGGTACCTCGGGCGATCCGACGTCCTCCTCCTCCTCCTTCTCCTCCTCCTCATCATCAGCATAATCATCATCATCATCATCATCATCATCATCATCATCATCATCATCATCATCATCATCATCATCATCAGCATCATCATCATCATCAACAATATTTTCATCGACATAATCGTCATCACCATCATCAGCATACCTATCATCATCAGCATCATCAGCATCATCATAACCATCGCCATCAGCGTCAGCATCATCATCAGTGCCAGCGTCAGCATCATCATTATCGATCTATCTGTCTATATATCTATCTATCGATCTATCTATCTATCTATCTATCTATCTATCTATCATCATCATAATCATCATAATCATCATCATAATCACAATCGTCATCATCATAATCAGCATCACCATCATCATCATCAGCGTCAGCATTATTATTAGCATCAGCAAAATCATCATTACCATCACCATCATCACAGGCAGCAACAGCATCATCATCATCATCATCATCACGACCATCAAACTCACCATCACGATTACCATCATCTTCACCATCAGCTTCACCACCCACATCATCATCATCATCATCATCATCATCATCATCAACCTCATCAACATCGGCATCATCATCGTCACCATCAACATCATCAGCACCATCACAATAATCATCACCATCATTATCATCATCAGTACCATCATCGTCATCATCAGTATCGTCGTCATCATCATCACCATCATCAGCATCAGCATCATCACCATCATCATCAGCATCGTCATCATCAGCATCAGCATCATCAGTATCATCTTCATAATCATCATCATCATCATCGGAGGCGTCATCGTCATCGTGATCTTAATCCGCATCCTCACCATCAGCATCACCATCATCATCATCGTCACCATCATCAACATCGTCGCCATCACCATCGGCATCATCGTCACGATCGGCATCGTCTACAGCGCCATTACAATCGTCATCGTCAGCGTCATCATCAGCATCCTCAGCATTATCATTATCATACTCATCACCAGCATCCTCATCATCAGCATCATGGTCATAATCATGGTCATCATCATCATACTAGTCATCATCATCATGACAGTCATAATACAAATAATCCTGATCATCATCATCAACAACAGTATCAGCATCAGCATCATCAGCATCATCATCAGCATCAGCATCAGCATCATCATCTTGTGAACTTTCGTAAATGCTATTAGTCGCGCCACTATTGGGACAAGTATCGCTATTATTCCTTTTCGTGTTACTCAAGCCGTTATGAACATCATGCTAGCCCCCCCTCGGTTACCCTTGACCCGACTCGACGGCATCGGTGTCAGTCCCTGACGCTGCCTGCCCCTCCCCCCTTGCGACCCTTTGTTTGTATGGTTACAACAATGCTTTGTTGAAGGATTGCCTGGTGATTTCTTGTGCATCCCCATCATCGATTGCCACGTCGATGGTATTCTTATCGCAGGAGCGGGAGGAGGAATATGGAGAAATCCCGAAGGTATTCTCATTGTCTTCGCATTTTCCGATTGTATTATTCCTATTGGTGGAGGAGGAAGGGAGAGGCAGAGATTCCTATTGCATTCCGAGTGCGTTCCGATTGGATTCCTGTATGAAAAAAAGGAAGTGAAAGGCGAAGGAATCCCGATTGCATTCCAATCGCCTTCCCATGGGAGGACGAGGGGGATGGAGTGAGGTGGTCATCTTGCTTCGTGTTGCAATCCTATTGCAATTGCAGTGGAGGAGGAGGGAAGGATGAAGAATGAGACCGGAGGAGGGTGGACAAGCAGCTGAAGCTGACCACGGAAACTAGAAACAAGCATCAAACAAGTGTACTTTCACATGGAAAACTAAAAACAAGAAGCGCAGAGCGACAGTCACAGGGTTCGTGTTCCCTGCATCATGCACCAACGACGTGCGCACCACATGTTGGGCACCAACATGAGACACACGCCCAGATACAGCCGCACACGCATCATACACATGACACACACTGGGCACCCACATGAGACACACGTACACATTCATATGCACACGTATCATAAACATGGCACGCACACCACACAACACATGAACACCACAAAGGGGTACAATGGGGGTGGTCTCCCTATCCGTTTCGGACACGCAAAGCGTGGCAAGCGCAACACTTCCTCGACACCCAGGGGGTGCGCAAGGGGTGGTCTCCCAGTGCGCCTCTATACGTGACGGGGTCTGAAAGTATGGCAGGCGTGGTGTTTTCTCGACACCAGGAAGGGGTGCGCACGGGGTGGTCTCTCAGCGCGGCCTCTATGTGTATCAGGGTCGGGGGGCGTGGCAGGCGTGGCACTTTCTCGACAGCAGAAGGGGGTGCGCAGGAGGTGGTCTTTAGCGCGGCCTCTATGCGTGCCGGGGTCGGAGAGCGTGGCAGGCGTGGCATTTTCTCGACAGCTGAAAGGGTGCGCACGGGGTAGTCTCTTAGCGCGGCCTCTATGCGTGCCGGGGTCGGAGAGCGTGGCAGGCGTGGCATTTTCTCGACAGCAGAAAGGGTGCGCACGGGGTAGTCTCTTAGCGCGGCCTCTATGCGTGCCAGGGTCGGAGAACGCGGCAGGCGTGGCACTTCTCGACGCCAGAAAAAGGGTGCGCAGGGGATGGTCTTTCTATGCGTGCCAGGGTCGGATAACGTGGCAAGCGTGGCACTTTTTCGATACCAGAGAGGGTGCGCAGGGGCTGGTCTCTCAGCGCGACCCCTATGCGTGCCACGGGTCGGGGAGCGCGGCAGGCGTGGCACTTTCTCACCGCCAAAGGGGGCGCGCAGGGGGAAGTCCCTCAGCGCGGCCCGTCTGCGTGCCAGGGTCGGAAAACGCGGCCGACGTGGCACTTTCTCGACACCATAAGGGGGGGCGCACGGGGTCGTTCGTCTCTCTGCGCGGCCTCCATGCGGGCCTCCATGCGTGCCAATGGTCGGAAAGCGTGACAGGAGTGACACTTTCTCGACACCAGAGGGGGTGCGCAGGAGGTGGTCTCTTAGCGCGGCCTCTATGTGTGCCAGGGTCGGAGAGCGCGACAGGCGTGGCACTTCTCGACGCCAGAAGGGGGCGCAGAGGGTGGTCTCTTAGCGCGGCCTCTATGTGTGCCAGGGTCGGAGAGCGCGGCAGGCGTGACACTTTCTCGACACCAGAGGGCGTGCGCAAGTGGTGGCATCTCACCGCGGCCCCTATGTGTGCCAGGGGTCGGAGAGCGTGGCAGGCGTAGCACTTTCTCGACGCCTGAGTGGGGTGCGCAGAGGGTGGTCTCTTAGCGCGGCCTCTATGTGCGCCAGGGTCGGAGAGCGCGGCGATCGTGACACTTTCTCGACACCAGAGGGGGCGCGCAAGGGGGTGCCCCCCCACGCGCGGCAGGGTCGCCGGAGTGGGCGCGCAGGGGTGGTCCTTCAGCGCGGCCCCGCATGCGTGCCAGGGCGGGAAAGCGCGGCAGGCGTGGCAATCAGAACTGTCGACACCCCGGCCCGAACATTGCAGGTGCCGCCCTGCCCCCCGCGCTGCCCACGCCGCGCAAATGCGCCATCGACGCGCTGCCGCCGCCGCTTTCGAAGCCGAAGAAGTCCACGACCGACGCAGGTGTCGAGGTCAGCACTGTGAATTTGCGCAGTTGCGAGGCAGCTTCGGTGAAGCGCGCGTGTAGTTCTTGCCGCCGACGGCCGAAGAATTGGCGGCCTGATGCGCTTCTCAACAGGCGCGACGAGCTGCTCCAGCAAGGAGGGAGCAACGATGCCAGGAAGCCATGCTTGGCGAGGTGCCTGCTGAACCCTGCGTCCGGAGGCTTCCCCGCTGATAAGCCGGGGGGTCGGGAGAGGGCAATGGCTCGCCGCTGGCGAAGATTCGGCAAAATTCGGCGAGTCGGCGGCGCCGGCGACGCGGGCGCTGCCGCGCCCGCGCAGGCCGCGCCCGCGGAGTCCGCGCACGCGCAGGCCTTCACCCCTCAGCGGCCCCCAGCCATTCTGCCCGCTACCCCCGTTCGTTCCACGGGCACCCCTCGCGCGCAGCCGCCCGCTGAGCCGGCGGAGACGGGCCGCCGCTGGGCAGAAAGACCTCGGTCGCAAGGCAGCAGTTCAGCTCGGGAACTCGCCGGCAAAAACGGATGCGAAAGCAATCGAATGGCGCGCGGAATTCGCAGCCAAGCGAGCTGCAGATCCGGACGGGCGACGACGCCGACTTGTGGCAGGCGCTTTACAGGTGCTCTACGAACGCTGGATCCTACAGAGTGGATGCACCTACCCTTCGTCCGTTCGAACTGCAGTCTGACATTTTCGGCGGAGCTAGCGCCATGTTTTACGGAGAGGCGAGCGACGTCGCCCCCTGGCGATGGACCTTTCGAGCCGCTGCACAGCGCGATGGCGCCGACTCCATGCGCGACGCGGATGCTGCAACGCACCGCGCGCGACGGACAGCCATGGCACAGCGGATGTGGCGAAGTTCCTCTACCTAGCTGACCAGGGGGGCCCGCGCCCCGACCCGCGTCGCGCAGGCCCTCGCATCGCACAGGCCCTCGCGCCCCCCATGTGGCGAATAGCCAGTGGTGCTGTAGCCTGTCCCCCTTCTGGACCCCCTCAGGGCACTCGGCCCCCCCGAGGCTTGAAAACCCCGCCAGCGGTTTTGGACGCCCGAAATGGGCGCGGAAAGAATGGGCACAATGCCCAACAACAAAGGTTGACCCAAAACAACAGCGGCCGCTGTTGGGCAGGCGGTCTTCTGTTCCGAATGGACACGGGCCGCGGCGACACCGACAGCGAGCCCTGTTCAACATGCACGGGAACTGCTGTTCTTTCCGCGCCCATTTCGTTCACGCAGAAACGGCGTCGGCGGCGCAACGGCTACGGGCATCATTCTCAAGTTCCACGTCGGCTATCATCACGCCGCGCGCATTATTACTATATGGGGTTCCTCGGTAGCGCAATTTCTTTGTAAACTCCCGCGCCCCCCCTCCCCCCTCCGCCCCCCCCCCCCCGCTCCCCCCC